CGGGTGGGTAGTTGTTCTTAGACCTCGGCGTTACCCGTACGCGGACGAGCTCGAGCCGGGCGGGGGGGGGGGCAGCATACCGGGAATACAGAAGCTTCACCGGCTTTGCAACTTGTCCGAACCTCGTTCTAAAATTGGGATAAGACTCTAACAGAAAAGAATTTACACGAAGTGCACACTTCCCAGATGATTTAGAAGACTCAGAGAGAAGAGGGTTTCTTAGCAATTTATATACAGTCCAAACAATATCAAAGCGGTAAAAGCGACATTTAGCACATTAAGCTCAGCATGCAAAAATCAGATAAAACAAGCCAACTATAACAGTTATTCTAAGCTCGAATTCTTAAACCCTTAACCAAAGTTCTGGGTTTGTATTCCCAGCAGAGTCACCAGAGCTGTCACACCTCCTTTTACACACCCCGAGGGTGATATAAGGGAGTTTTTCCACTTTAAGTGACATTATTCGAAATGGGATTATTTATTTAATTCTCAGAGTCGCCACTTGGAATATTTTAATTGGTGTCCCAAGTCACCGATTTATTTTTAAATCCCAAATCGAGGAAATTCGACTTTCCTTTTGAAGTCTGCGAACCAGAAATTCTAAGTAAGGAATTCTGTTAACCCCGGAAAAGGTGTTAGGCATTCCCGGGTTCCGTGGTTCTAGCACGGTCGCTTAAACTATTACAATTGGACTATTATCTGATTTAATACATGTTTTAGCCTATGGTATATTTTTTAACTTATTAACCGCTTTTAATTAATTTTAGGAAGATTCAACGTTATTTAAAACACGCCTTGAACCACGTCACATGAAATGCACCCACGATCCACGATACATTTTATTTAACGTTGTTGAGAATTGGAGTTGGGTCACATGAAATGCACACCCGAGTTTAAGGAAATTAATTTAAATAGCGCGCCTAAAGCAACTACGCACTTTCAAGTTTGCGAGGGCCATGGAAAATTCAACTAATGGCACACCTCGATTCTAATTTCAAAGGATGTTCGAACTACTTTTGAGGGCCATAAATTGTACGCTTGGCTAATGTGGCACACCTCAAACCAATTTTAAGAGTCTAATTAATTAAGGAAGGCTTAAAAGCATTCTAATTATTTTAGGCCAATGTTCAAACTTAACTTAACTGTTAATGGGTTTGGGCTAAAAGACATCGAGCCTACGGCTAAGGACTTGGGCAGGCAGCTAGCCCAATAGTCCATTGTAGGCTGCCATGCCATAACATGGAAGAGGACTGGGCCTTCATGAAGCCCATGATGCATACAGAGTTGGTGAAGGGGTATTTGGCATGACTGGGCCATAACAAAGGCCCAGTTGCAATTCATTCCAACTAATCGAAGCCAACTATAATTTTTCAGGAAAAATGAGAACAAAACAAAACATCGGCAGTTCTTGCAATTTTAAAGCAAATGCAGAATACATTCTGGTGCCATTCTATGATGAAAACATAACCATAACTCATGCACATTTATCTAATCATTTGAAACCTAATACAATTCATGATTTCTAAACCAACACTAAGCTGATTCCCAAAGAAAAACGAGTACATCTACTAAT